TAGCTATCGGTATTCATATGCACATAGCGCATGCACTTGGCATAGCTATCGGTATCAATGCATTGGGGCATTTGTGGCATTTAGGCTACCGGTATCAATCCATCAGGGAGCACTTGGCAAACTCCGGTGATCGTCTCAATGCATAGAGGCCACTTGGCATTCAGTATCGGCTACTGCTGCTTTGGCTACGATCAATAGGTCCATAGGAGCACTTTGGCATTAAGCTACCGCGTACATGTCCAGATTTGGAATAGCTCACGTCTGCTCATTACACTTGCATGACACCGGTATTCAATGCAATTAGGGGCACTGGCATTTAGCAGGGAAATGCTGAGCACTGGCATTATTCCCTGGTTCATGCCATAGGGCACCTTGGCATTAGCTACCGGTTTCAATGCAACATTATGCCCGGTCCGCCAAGCGAGCCTTGGCTATTAGCTACCTGGGTAGAGTAGGTATCAATGGCCATAGGAGCACTTGCATTAGCTACCGATTTATCAATGCCGTATAGGGAGTCACTTGCTAACTTAGCTTATCGGTAGTCAATGCGCATGAGCACTTGATGCATATGCTTCGTAGGATATCTAATCCCATTGGGGCTTTGGCTATAGTTAGCTACCAGGTATCACAATGGCACATAGAGGAGCACTTGGCGCATTAGCATACCAAGATTTTAGTCAAATTGCTCGGAAGGGGCCACTTGGCATTACGCTACCGTTAATCTAAGGCCATAGGAGCAACTTTCATGCATTAGCTACCGTTTGGGTTGAAATCAATGTCATAGGAGCACTTGGATTAGCTACCGGTATCCAATGCCATAGGAGCACTTGGCATAGTTAGCTGCACGGGATCCATGCCATAGGGGGCCCTGGGCATTAGTACCAACGGTATCAATGCCATAGACATATGGCATTAGCTTACCAGGATATCAATGCCATTAGAGCAACTTGTTTGCATTATCTAACCGAGGTATACAATTGCCGTAGGGGGCACTTAGGACATTAGCTACCAGGTATCAAATGCCAATAGGGAGCACTTGGCCATTTAGCTACCGGCATATCGCAAAGGGCACTTGAGCATGCGACGATGCGATCGGCAGTGGTAGACTATGGCGTTAGCTACCATATAATCTCGTAGGGGCACTGCATTAGCCTACGGTATCAATGCCATTAGCGCATTCATTAGGCTCCTTTCAATCCTAGAGCACTGGAAAGCTGACGGTCATATGCCCTTGCATTAGCTTACGTATGAACCATAGGAGCAACTTTAGAGCATTAGTCTACCGATATCAGATGCCATAGAAGAGCACTTGGACAGTTAGCCTACGCGTATCGAATGCCTGGAGGGTACATTTGGCATTAAGACTACTCCGGTATCAATGCCAATGAGAGCCACTTGGCATTAAGCTACCGTGATCAATTGTCATTAGGAGCACATTGGCATTAGCTACTTGGTGTATAAATGTCCAGATAGGGGCACTTGCATTAGCTACGCTCGGTAATCATCGCCATAGGAGCACTTGGCATTAGCAGTATCCCTAATTACCTAGTAAAGGGACTTTGGCATTAGTCTTACCGTGGTTCAATGCCTATAAGTGGCACTGGCATTATGCTACCGCGATTATGCAATGCCATAGGCACTTTTGGCATTAAGCTACCGTGTATCAATGCCATAGGGATGCATTGGCCACTTCTCGGCATTCTTAGCTACCGGTATCAATGCCATGCTAGCACTTTGGCTTAGCTAGACCAGTATCATGCAACTAGGGGCCCTTGGCATTAGGCTACCGGTTATCAATGCGCATAAGAGCGTAGCATACTAGGCAATCCGATGGCAGCTGCATGTACTCGGTATCAATGCCATAGGTAGCACTTTGGCATTAGCTTTACCATCCGGTATCAATGCCATAGGAGCACTTGGCATTAGCTCGGGTATCAATGCACTTGGCATTAGCTATCGGTATCAATGCCATTGGGGCATTTGGCATTAGCTACCGGTATCAATGCCATAGGAGCACTTGGCATTAGCTACCGGTATCAATGCCGTAGGGGCACTTGGCATTAGCTACCGGTATCAATGCCATAGGAGCACTTGGCATTAGCTACCGGTATCAATGTCATAGGAGCACTTGGCATTAGCTACCGGTATCAATGCCATAGGAGCACTTGGCATTAGCTGCCGGTATCCATGCCATAGGGGCCCTTGGCATTAGCTACCGGTATCAATGCCATAGGAGCACTTGGCATTAGCTACCGGTATCAATGCCATAGGAGCACTTGGCATTAGCTACCGGTATCAATGCCATAGGAGCACTTGGCATTAGCTACCGGTATCAATGCCACAAACAAATCCATCTGTTTTTCAATTAGTTTCATGCAAATCAGTAGCGGCGCCACGGGGGGGGGACTGGGGGGACACGTTCCCTCAGTTCTCAGCAGAATCGATTTTGTATTTCGTCTAAATTCGATGAGAAAATGTTGGGGGAGGGGTAATATCTTGACACCGTACTTTTTGTGATGTAATCCTATGATTTAAAAACTGCCAATTTTCAAACAAAATGATGTTTCATTCGGATAAAACTGGCGTTCCCTGTTGGTATAAAGGCGTTTTCAGCTGGTTAAAAGGGCGTGGCTTAAATTTTTTTGGTTTGTCCCCCCCCCAGCTTAGTGGCTGGCGTCGCCATCGATGCAATTGCTGCTTTTTACCTTAGAACAACGAGCAATGCATTCAATGAAATCCTCACCTGTAGAGCTTCAAGGCGCTTTCGGGGTTAATTGGATCCAGGCCTCCATAGATATAATGCACTGCGTACAAGAAATAGTTACTTAGCAACTGACAAACATAAATTCAAAGAGATGAATACACTCTTTCACATGTGACCCCCCTTTCACATGCAAACTTAGCGGTCCGAAAGTAATCATTATGCAACTCTGTTGAGACAAAATAATTTGCTTTTTTCAAAATTGGCTTCCATTACAACAAAAAAGATCCTTTATTTTGGTAGCTTTTGTCAGGTCAGCAATCGTGCATCGCCTAATTTCATTGAAATGCATTTGGCCCTGCTTCTGAGTATAACACCACTTCCTTTTTCCGTAAAGCAATAAGATCAAAACATTTTACAAAACAGCTCAAATTGCATGTCATTGCCAGTTGACCTGGCCTGATAAACACCCGCATATTGATATGACACGACAAATAAGACAAACAGACTTGCAAAAGAGAATTCTTTCTTTCTTAACTCAGCAAAACACAAAATCTAAAATATAAAAGAATCAAGAAGAATCACGTTTTGCTTACACGGTATCTCGGTCTTCTCCAATGCGCCAACCCAGCGACTTCTATATGTTCTTCTCTCATCCATATATCTCAATAGCCTGAAAATAGTATCTGGTTTTTAAAACACGCTTTTTAACGTTTCGACCTTCTTTCCCCTGGTTACCTGGAAGCTAGCTTTAAAAAAATGAGCTACAATCTCGGACAAAGATGGTGGGGTTTTTTCAAAGAAAGCTTATATTTTCACTTTCCTTTTAAAAATAACTTACCCCCCTCCCCCAATTCAATGTTGAATGCATGATTTTGAAGGAGAAATGATAGAACTACAAATCCAACATTGATTCGAGGAAAAGGGGGGATTCGAATTTATAGGGGCGACAAAAAGTAGAAAATTGCAGAAATTGCATTTTGTCTCGACAATTTTGTCCGGGATTGTAGACTAGCTAGATCAATAAGTAAGACATGATTAAGTTGCCTGAAGATCGCATAACGCATGAAAGAAACTAGGAGTTGCAATTGAGAACCATCCTGTTGTATACGCCGAAGCGTAGAAAACGATAAACACATAAACAAAACAAATTGTATTCAATAATGCGCATTGTAAAACAGATAATTTCCACGAAACATAACAAGTAAAAGTTAGAAAAGGTTTGATACAGGGATACTATATAATTATATAGGGGAGACTTAGGAACTGAGTATGCTGTTACTTAAAGAACAAAAGTGATTATTAACAACATATAACCCAAGTATTCTTCATGACCCACAAACATAATGCATAAAGAACAGTTCAATTTGTTAATGAAGTCACCTTGGTGTTGCTAAATGCCCGTCGTTGAATCTAATCTGAGTCCAAAAATCCCACAATTCATCTGCACTCGGTCGAGTAGAAGGGCCAAATATCGCAGAGAAACTAAAAAAAATCCAACAGTTGTCACTTTTTTAAAATTTTCAAAAGATTAAATCTATCCAATAAAAGTAAAACTATATCTTCATTTTCAAGACAACCTTAATGAAACATCCTATCAAATATTAACAGTGAAAAATCCTGCCATTTGCTGACTTGGTGCAAGAATCTATAGGCTACGTCATCTTAAAATACCGCTCTATGACAGTCTTATCCTATGGATAATCTACAATCAATTGAACATTTTGGCAGCTATATAGATAACAAAAGTTTTTATCAACTTCGCAAGTTGTCCCCTCGCTGTGTTTGCAATAACAGTGACATTAACGGCAGTTTTGTCTGCATTTTTTGTTCCGAGAGGGAAAATAAAAAAACGCATTCCCTTTACTAAAACATTTCTCATCTCAGAATCTGGCTGCAATATTGGAACATGTAAAGCCTTGGCCAAACTGGGCAACATTGTTGCCCGACAATGTTGCTTGAAATTTTGTTGATTTTTTTGTCGTCGAAACATGGTGGCCAAACTGGACAACATTTGAGCAACATTATGAATTTGTGAATGTTACCCGACAATGTTGCCCAGTTTGGCCATGGCTTTAGGTATATTCCAAAAAAGCAGCCTTCACACACAACTCAAGTACATGTTTAGGATGGTGAAATTGTACAGCGAAGGAGGGTGAAATTGTCAAAAAGCAAGATTATCTAAATATAAAGATCAGCAGTATTCCTTCATGCGCAGAGTTTTTTGCTGAGCTAAAGCTAGTGTGTATAAAGGCAGAACTTACTCATCAGATAAATTTTCATTATTTACCTATACTTAAAGGTTGTGAAGGTCATAAGAAACGCTGCAATATTTCCGATGAATGGCAACCGAAGAAGCTAAAAAACAAGAAAAAATATTTATAGTGAATGAAAAACTTTGCAACAGCCTGTGCTGTCAGGTTTAAATCCCGCAAAAAAAATGATTCACGACTGACGTTAGCGCAGGTGAATTTCATGTTTTCTAATCATGAAAAACAATAAACTTAGCTACATCCTTAATAATTAGCGATGTAAGCCGATAATTGTGACACAGTAGCTGCGCTTGCCCTTCCCTTAGCACATCAAATGTCGCTTTCTAAAAGATTTAGTCTTAATAAATAATTAATTTTTCTGTTTTATTCATATTTCAAAGTGGCAATATTCGAGCTACATCTGCACGTTTCTAAGGAAAAGTTAATTACTTCACAGCTCAGCTGCGGCAAAAACTGAACATGAAACATCTTGGGAAGACACGATAATAGGTACCCCAGAAACCTCCAGAACTGTTGACAAACACAAAACAGGCTTTGCATGGATTGTTATTAGCCAAATGGTTGATTATAATTGCAAACCTATCCTTACTTTTTGAACCAGCCTTGGATGATGGGTCTCGGGAAAAATTCCTGTTGAAAGGGAAAGAGCATAGCATAGAATTTACAAGCAAATTTTTCATTAAATTTCGTGTTTTTGTATATGATAATTTGATAGTCAGGAAACTTACAGGTAAATAACTATGAGTTAGCACTTGTGCAAAAAGCGAATAATTACACATAACATTAATAAAAGAAAAATTATAGCGTTGAAATGTGAATTGAAAACCTTAACTATCTGTTCACCCTATTCACCAAGAATCTTGCCCCCTTCTCAACCAAAAAGGAACTAAAATGACACCCTCCAAAAATTACAAAATAATGAATAAATTTATAGTTATCATCAATCTCAAAATAACTAAGAGAAATTGAATGATGAGAAGAGCAAGTATTCTAACATTTTAATATCAAAACAAAATAATATCAAACCTCCATTGGTCAAACAAAGACTTGATATCGCAAGTCCTTCTTCTGCTTTTGAAATTCTTTCTAAATACCTGAATCACAATAATCAAAATACTGAGCATTCATTTAAACTATTTAACATAAACTATAACTTACAAATCTTCTTCAAGAGTTAATCAAAATCCTTTGACAAGGAATTAAAAAGCCATTAAAAATCAAAATAGTATTTTACAAATATCCATCAAGTGAAACTACACAAATATATTAATATTTCAACTTGCAGCAGGAAATATGAAGTGTTGTCTTGCTAACAAATTAAAAAAACAAGGTCTGTTTTTGAATATTTCAGTTATTGAAATCATCAAAATTAGGAAATTGTACCACAGTGTTTTAGTTTATTTAGTTTCACTGATATACCTCGCTAACATTTCCTGTGCAACAGTGTCTCCAAGATCATGAGCCAGCAGGTGTATGTCTTTAATTCCCAGGTGTTTCAAAAGGTCTTCATGGATTGTTGCTTGTTCACTAATACTGTACTCGTGATTTGACTACCCTCAGCAAAAAGAATAAAAATAGTTTGATGAAAATATGCAGTATATACAGACAAAACATTGGGAAAAGAGCCATTAATATAACTAGGATAAACTGATCAAAACAACTTTTCCTCAGTAAGGAATAGTTGGTGTAAAAATGTGTACTTTTGTCCGGGGTCAATGGAGGCTATGGGACAAATGAAAGCTAGGTTAGAAATGGACCTACTTTTCTGAAACTTATCAAAAATGTCAACCAAATTGGGGGGTGGGGGATTTCTAAAACAACAGACACTTTACTGTTTTTACTTTCTGAAACAGTAGATCCTTTTACTGTTTTCAAACATATTACTGCCTTCAAAAAGCAATTTCAATCGGGAGACTTAATCATCTGTGGGAGCTGATAAATGGGAAGTGGTCAGAACTTAAAGTGAGAAAATTGCCACCAACTTGTCTATTTCAAGAAGACAGTCTTAAGAAAAGGGATTTCATCGGCAACCTTGTTTGGAAATAAAATGTTTGATCTGAGCAACAAATAACTCCTGCCACCAAATATTGATGGGGTAACTGGACAAAACGTAGCCAAAAAAGATTTCAGCTGATATGTCTTTCAAAGATACTATTCATTTGCCATGGTATGGACATTTGCCATAGACATGTCCACTCCAGTTTTCCTAGAGGTCAATTTTCTAACTTCTTGAAATCTGTTGAAAAATATTTAGGGGAGGGGTTGATCAGATCGGTTTATTGTTCTTGCAAAAAATCCTATTATGCAAAATGTTGCTTGACAAAGTTGCTTTAATTCCAAAAATTCAAAATAGATAAAAATACCATAAAAGTGTTTTCCACGTTTTCTGAGATTCTGAAGGGCAGTGTCAAGGAAATTTCTTTGTCCATCCTAGTTTTTTCAAACCAGATACACCACTGTTCATTTTTCATGCTGCTTGAAAACTTGTGAGGCTTAGATGCCTCCAACCATGGTGGCACAAGGAAATGGTGTTAACAACTACATCAAGGAGCAACTAATTATAAGCAAGTACTCCTGAATCCCTGATATCACTTCATCGTCCAATGAACCTTAGTCAAGAATAAATAGATTATCTAAATCCATTGATTAATGATAAAAGCAATTATAGAAATTTTCCGAAAGTAAAGCTGTGAAATCTTAAGCAAATTCCCATAATGGCAAGCCCTCAGCTCCCCTACCATGAATAATGCAAATTCAAAATTGCTTACCGGCTTGTCACTGAATCCAAGTCCCAACATGTCAACTGCAATCACTCTGCCAAAATGGCCATGTAGTGAAAATATCACCTAAAAGAAAGAAACAACAGATACAACATGACATAAATGCTAATGAATGCTTTTCTTTGAATGATCTGTTACCAAGCTATGTTAAAAATTGAGATGGCAAACGTTGGATAGAACTGAAAGAGACCACAAAGTAATCTGCCATGTCAATGATGTACACTTAGTGAGCAAAAGTATTGCACAGGCTGAAACAGAAATGGAGAAACTGCAGCAAAATATTTTAGCCAACAAAAATACAAGTGGCCATAGCAAGAGTCATATAAGCTATAAGATGACTTTTCAACTGGAATATGTTGAAAAATTTATCAAGGTTTGATGCTGAAAATTGTAAATGCAAGTATATTCTTGATTTTTGCCTATTTCTAAACAATATTGACATTTGCAAAATCACAAAAATTGAGCCATGATGATTGAAGTACCTGTCAAACATGTGCAATAAAAAGTTCATCTTTGCACCAATTTGCGATATCTTATTACAATGAACTCGGGAGTACTAACTTTATGCTTGGGTGTCTAAAACTGCTCATTTTCTTCACTTTTGTTAGAGAATATCTTAATCGTTTTGGTGAAAAATTTTTGGAGTTGCAATGGGCCTAGTCAATGGGCAGCGGCCAATTTGTGATATGTTGCAGCAGAATTCAATCAATTAAATGTGTCACAAATCGTCAAGTCCATCTTTTCCAACTGATTGCAATGTTATAATGGGAACAAATGATGCTGCTAATTGCGTAAAACAACATCTCGTCCTCTCATTGAATGAAAATACCAAAATCCCCACGATAAACAGGTTCACTCAAGTGCCTTAATAGCTGTAATAGGGTAGGCTTAATAAAATGGCTTAAAATATGCCACTTTCCACAAAATACAAGGCCATTTATGATCAAATTGGTACTCCAACACCTAAATGCGATCTTGCAAATGTTTTTTCTGAATTTATCATGTCGCGATTAACAGTTTTGTTACAAAACTTTTTAACAAACTTCTAGCAAGTCTCATAAAGGTTTCAAAGCCGGGAGACCATCCAATAAAAAGTCAAAATTTTTTACCTTTGAAAAAGTAATTTTTTTCAATCTTTAAATCAAAAGTGCTGCCAACAGTTTGAAAATTGATTTGATTGGTTTTTAACTATAAAAAGACGCCTTATGGCTTCACAAAAGTGGTTTCAATATCAATCGCCTTTACTATGCCGTCGCCATTATTCATTTGTCAAACCTATACTTTTATACAAACAAATACTTTTGCTCACTAAGTGTATATGCTTCAAAACACCTAATGACTTAGAAAAAACAACCCTAAGAGGAATCAGAAGACACAGCAGAAAAAATTGAATTTTTAATCAACAGAGGAATACAGAAATAAAATAATTTGGTCCTAATTCAACTTCAAAAACCCGATCAAATTCAGTATTCTAGTATCCCTGTGTGAGTACTACCGTTAACCATATTATCTCCTTAGAGGTTGTCTTGTTAGTAAAAGGGATGCTTTTTGTTAAACATCACGAAAAGCATTGTTGCCTTTTTATCATTTGACTTTAGTAAAAAAGAGGAGTTTTCCAGCATTGAAAAACCAATTTTGGCAGCAGCTTGCGAGTGCATACATTTTACATACACACAATGCACATTTCTTTTTGGCACCAGTAATATCAAGGAGGTTCAAAAGAGGTTAATGTGTGGACCTGTTGCTGTGTCGTTACCTTCTTCCAATCATAGCTGCTTGTTGGAAACCCATGCAGTAACAAAATATCTGGACCAGTTCTTGGTAATTTCAATTTTGGAATATCTGCAAATAGAAAAATGCGGATTAAGTTACATCCAGACACTTGATAAATGATTCATGTAATTGGTACATCAGAAATAATCCATGCCGTGCAACCAAATCATCCCCATGAAACTCTCGGAAACACTCAAATACAGACCTTTTCCAATGAACTTCAATTAAGATCTTAACATACTATTTCCTTCAGAAATGAATAAATTTGTCCATTTTCCCAAAAAGAAAAAAGAAAGCTACTCAAGTGTACTGAGTGACAATATGTTGGCTTATCTATCTCTTTATAGGAAGGATATCTCTGATTCAGTGGCATAGATAGGAAATTTCATAGGAGGGGAAAAAAGTCAGATTTTCTGACAAAAATCTAACACACATCTTTAATCCTTTTTATTCATTTGAACATAGTTCAGTTCAGTTCAGTTCAGTTCAGTTCAGTTCAGTTCAGTTCAGTTTTCTATAGTTTAAAATTCCTCTACATAAAATATCTTACTACAACTACATTACAGCTAATTACATACAATGTTTTCACATTACATAAAATACCTATAATAACAGGCAACAAAGAACAATTGTGCCAAATTTTGTTTGCGGGGGAGTTTCTTTAGGAGGAGCTCAGTAGGTGAAATAATCGAGGAGAGAGCACCCCCTTTTCTAAGGTGGCTTTAAATGTAATTGATCAGTTACATGAGTGACAGAAAAATAAACTTTGGTTTAGAATCAAATTTGATAGCTCTTGTTGAGTAAAAGGTTTTAAGCTTTTGATAAAAACTGACAACCGAAAATGATTATTTTATATCTACTGAAACACTGTTTCGTAAAAAAAATTTGGCACCAAAGAAACACACAGATCTGATACCAGATTGCAAATGTCATTTTTGTGGCTTGCCGTGTACCATATTGGTGAGCATTTGACACAGATTAGAAAAAATTGTGGCGAAAATTCATAACATAACATAACATAACAACATCAGAACTGAAATAAAACAGGAGATAAGTCTAATCATCTACTCAAAGTCATGTGTCATAAATCATTATAATTGAAGATTTTATGGTCTTCTCTTCGAAAAGGCATTTTCAAGTTGCCCATCCGATTCAGAACAACTGAAGAAATCGTTATAATTACCTTTAAAGACTGTCTTTTAAAAATGTAACACTTGGATAATAATAGAAAACCATGTTATATTTTTGACAAGATCAGAAATGTTCCAACAAAATAGCTTTTTAGCTTTACAGGGGGCTTTTTGCCCCCCCCCCCCTGACACCCCCTGTATCTACAAAACTGCTCTGGTTCATAATTAGTCATTCTTGAACTAGAAGTTGACATTAAGTGGGAGGATGGCTCAGCAGGTTTGAGTCCCTGACAAACAAATACAAAAAATAATGGTAGACTATTGTTTCCAATAAACCACTTCTTTTCTATTTTAATAGAGAAAAGTGCTGCCCCCTTCCCCCTTCCCCCCCCCTGAAAAAAATTAATGCTACTGGCTGTATAGACCTTAATAATGCACCTCTGTTACTTAAGAAACTTTTTAAGTAGAAGGCTTGCATCTTAAAGTAGACGTCTAAAAGTTTACTAAAGTTTGTGCAGTCTTACTAAAGTGAGGGTGAAAGTAGACAGCAAAGGTTTGGTGAGTAAGCGGCAGACTTTCATCAGTTGCCGGCTTCTAATGAAATCCCTGACTACTCTTTTTCTTATGGCGGATCTTGCTTCCCATGTATCATAGCCTGGTCCTTGAAATACATCTAATTTCATCACTTTCACTTAATTAAGTGATTAATGCATTTTCATTTTGCAATTAATGATTGCTCAAGCAAAGGGGTTGACACATTTAGGAGTTGACACTAAACTTTTGTTTTCTTTAAATTTCAAGAAATTTAGAGAAAACCAAAAATGATTGAATTGTATCTTTAAACAACACATCTCCAAGTCATCATAACTGCAGTTTTTGTTGATTTCATGGAAGTTGTGTTAAACAATTGATGACCTGCTGTGTAACCTATTACAACTTCCCCTCTGACTCCCACCCATGATGCATTCACTGGGGCATATAACTTGTTTGCTTTCAATAACCTGCATTTGCTTTTAAAACAATTCTTGAACAAGCTGGATCGGGGCTAGATAGGGGAGCAGCTATAAGTACTTCTGTTATGCAGAATTGACTTCTGTTGTGCAGAATTGAAAAAAGTTATCAAAAAAGACTCAGAGGCATTTTAAATGGTTGCTGTTTTTTAGAAAATTCTGCCACTCCAAAGTTCTGAATTTTCCACAACCATCGAGAGAATTTTCTAAAAAGACAAAATACTTCAATATCCCTTGGGCTTATAAAAAGTTTTTGCATAGAGACAGAAATTTGAAGAGAGGGGGCTAAATAGGGCTTTGACGGTATTACTCTTTCCCTTCTTTTTCCATTCCTCTTCCAAAACTCAATAGGGGGGAGGAAAAGGAAGTTGTGCAACTTCTGAAATCAGTTTTTCCAAGGGATACCTTATAAACATATGTTCGCCCGATTGTAAATCCGCTTCTATTGCCCATACCCAAAATATCTGAACAGCTACAAATACACAATACTAGCTGCCACACTTTAAATAAATTGAAATGGTTACCTTGGTAGAATATCGAAAACCCAGAGAAGTTAAAAATATATCCACTATCCCGCCAATCAGCAAGCCGTGGTGACAATGAAGGTGCTGGCGAACTCACAAACAAGCCAAGCAGCAATGCCACCAAAAAAGATAAGGAGAAATAAGTAATTAATGTTTTATAATTATATTTAGAGCCAAGGAATCCTTGAACGGCTTTATCTCTTGACTTCGACTTTCTCGGCATGATTTCTCTTCTTCTGCTAGCCATTTTCAGTCTCGATTTCATATAGTAAGGCTAAGAATTTGCAACCCCCGTCACAGAACCAGTTCCATTCAAAAGTTAATGTACAACAAGATAAAATATATTCCGAACTTCACGTTCATCATCAGTTAAAAAGTCACATTAAGTCAACAGAAACTGCTTTATACGAAATGATATAGCAAGAAAAAGGCCATATGAATGAAAATATGAAACTAAAGGTAATCACAAATATACGACAGAGCAATAAAATAATGTTAAAAATCACGCTTTAACTTGATAATCGACCATTAAAAATCAGAGCTTTTAAACATAATTTGTTAACAAATATCTTAAAATAAAACGTAAAGAAATTGATGAAGAAACAAATTTCTTTCAATCCGTTGTCTCCTGAAAGGTGTGTGCATACCTTTCGCAGCCAATGCAAGTGAGGGCTGGGCTTGGGGCTCTACTGCTATTGCTAAACTGTTTAACTGTGGCAAAAATTGTGTGCCCCCAAGTTTTGCTAAATTGTCGGTTAAAACACCATTATACACTCTTTTTTATAGGAACCAGTAAACTTAAGTTCAGGCTGACTGTTCTTAATTTTTTCGAAAATCTGAGGCTGGATTGTTCTTAATTTGTTCTTAGTTTAATAGGTTGTAAGCAGTGCGAGTGCTAGCTTTTTCACTCTAGGGTGGTAGGTACAGGCCTCATTTGCCAACAGACAGCCTTAATTTGCGGACAAATTTGAATATTCACCGAAAAAGCACCCACAACATCGCTAAAAATCCTCGATCTTGAGAAAAAACGTTGTTCAAAATTGCATTTTGCAGAAGCTAAGCCTCAGCTTATTCTTAATTTGTTCTTAACTTTTGACAAATTTTGAGGCTTGAGTTCTCATAAAATTGTTCTTATAAAAAATTAGTGTATTTTATTTATAACAGCGGAATGAGGAGCTGATGGCTGAGCAGTCCTCATATATGAAATTCTTACCCATGTCGCTGCTTTTCATTAAGATGCTTCGAAAATTCGATCATCTTGCTACAACTAATCTTGCGAATTTTGACGTTTTACTCCTTCACTTTTTTGGAAATTTTTTTTCTTTTCTTAAAAATTGAAATCACCGAAACAGGTTTGACTGCAATGAAAATACAGTTGATATGAACAGCTTGTAACAAAATTGCTCTTTCCTAAGCATGGACAAAACTACATGAGAAAATGTATATGAGAAAATAGATGGTTACCAGAACACCTAATTTCTATGAAACACCGCGAAAGAAATTTGATAACTGTCTCGTAGATTTGTGCTTCTCAGGAGATGATATTTCAAATTATTTTTTGGCTGGTCGAAAATTTAACAAATTGAATCTTCACAACCATCCAAAAACAGAAGTTAGGGTAGGACCTTGATGGAAAGATCAGATGATGAATTCCAAACTTTTGCTTTAAATTTCGTTTTGCTTTTAAGCAAATATTTTTTAGCACTTATCTGTAAATGATCTTTTGTTATTAAAAGCTTTCTTTTTAATTAGTATTAGCTGGTGCAAATAAACCGTTTCTTGATATCAACCTACAAGCATTTTCAATCTTATCAGATTCCAGTTTAATTTGTGCACATTTTTGAGGAAAATTCTTCTTTTCCTTACTCACCCCCCCCCCCCACGAATGTATAATCCAAATAATTGTTTTGAAAGTGAGGCCCTTGCTTTTTACCCTATTCAACGACAATGACTCTGAAAAAGCATTTAACATTTTTTATCATTTAATACACGAAGATAAATGCTTCGTAGCTTTTTGAGACCAATCAAAGATATTGTGCATTAAATATTAATGTTTCAATTGATGCAAAGATTAGCAATTGGTTTATAATTACAGTTTCATTTAATGGTTATTGATTTTCACTGAAAATGTCATATCAAAATTTCAGTCACTTATAATCCTGCATCACCAAGAACAGCTATTTTGACATATTGTGACGACGTTCTGTAACAGGAAAATGAAAACCTAGGAAATCCAGAAGAAAAAACATTTGATCTGCTTATGGTTTCGCTTATACATAATTGATTAACATTTCTTTGTATACTTCAAAAGAAATACGATGAACTGCAAACTAAAACCCTCTATCACCCTCGATCAAAGTCGATTACAATATAGTTTTGTCTCTACAAAAAACTGGGTTGCCTCAGGAAACATATTTGGCTCCCTAATAATCCAAAGAGTATAGTGACATATTCTATGCGTTTGGCAAGCAACTTTGGATAACATTGTGACAGCATCGCAAAATAAGGCATTCTGTAGGGGTGGTCTGCAGAAACATTTTCTGGAGATTTTATCTCATAGCCCCATCTTCCCCCCCCCCCCCCTCCTCAAATAATTTTTCTCTCACTATGGCCCTGAATTAGGATGAGCAAGTTCTGGTATAGTGGATGGGTAAAAGCTAGTGAAAAATCATGTTTGATAAATAGTTTAAGACAACTCTTACTAAGATAGAAGGTTGTATTACACCAAATTTATAACTTTTAATTCTGTAAAAACCAGCTTTCGAGAAATATCTAACCGTAAAAAAGTATTTATCTACTAATCAAAATACAAATTTAAAAATATAACAAAATATAAAAACTATTAAAAACTACACGCACCCAAACGCTGCATGCAAGTTTCAAAAACTCCTTAATAGTATGAAGATTGAAAAAAATAAAATTCTCAGAATCGCTGGGATATTTCTGAGGATTCTACTTACAATTATTATAATACAGAGGCATATAATTATTCTAGTGTGTCTTTACCAAGCAAAAAAGAACGGGTATTGGTTACCGTGTAAAACGAAATTATCATAAAAAAATACAGGAAACTTATTAAAATATATCAAAGGCTTTAAGTCAGCTGTTAGGTTTTCAATCAACAGTTGACAAGAATGCCTGGCCATTGGTACAGTTCTAATATGATGGAAAGAATCAAATTCTCGTGTTGACAGCTCTCCATGTTTGCAAAAAATCATTATATTGGTTGAATCGAAAGATATCAGGGTTCGAAAGACTTTGGGATACGCATATTATCCATTTGCACGAACTGATTCTCAAATTCTAGGACTGTTTTGAAATACTACTTTTTTACAAATAATACCCTGTGTTCCAGACCCCTAACTTGAAAGTAGAAGGGTCTGGGGCACAGGCTAACAAAAGCCTGATAAACACGATAAACAAGGATACAAGAGAATGCGTTGTACATTGGTTACGTTGTAAAAATACAGTTACGTTGGAATATAAACTACGTCTATGTTGAGTCCCTTGCTAATGAATTAACAATAAATGAGGAATTAATTTGATGTCATCAAAATTTCAAAAATTACCTGTTATATTTGAATGGCTGGAAAATGTTTGACAACTTCGCTGAAAGAGTTCAAATTTCCAGAGTATTATACCCCATTATTGCTAAAAAATATACTCCATTATTCTAATTTACAAATTACTAACCTCCATATTCAATCGTCAACTATATTATCTCACATATATCACAAAGTTGAAAAATGCAAGATAAAATGCAATGTTTTAACGATATACTAATTATGAAATAGCAAAGTTACAAAACCAACTAAAGTTGAATCACAATTTAAACAACCTACAGTAAATTGCCGATAACTCGAACCCCCCGACGACTCGAACATTCGCTTAGCCGAACTGATATTGCACTCCCCTTGCTCAATACATGCATTTAAAAAGTTAGCGCTCCCGTTTATATACACTGAGGTTACGAGAGTAGCTATCAGTTTACAGAACACAATTCCAGCTGATTTTGTATCAACCTTGTGTTTCTTTGTGTCTTTTCCAATGATCCTTCTTTATTGAAACTTTTAATCAAAATTTTCCAATAATTTTTCAAGAACACTAACTATTTGCACTATTTTAGATAAATTCTACAAACAAATTATGAAAAAGGGGATCAACGGAGGGGTGTCTTACTAGTCTAGTATCTGACTTGACCGTTTCGCACAATGTTTTGCTTTCGTACCATGACTAGACACTTTCTGCACCGATTTGAGCCATCTGACTTCGAAAATAAAGTTTGAAATTCATACTTACTACTATCCATTACTACTCTTTTAATACATTTTGCCACAGTTTTCAGGCCGAAACTGTGGAATTTCTCCTTAAACATGGCAAGGGTAGCCCTCTGTATTTGTGATACTGGATAATTCGTTAATACTTGCATGTGTCTTACGCGCAACTTGACTAAAAGTGCCATTTGCTTGGCATTGGTCTTGGCCCTTTGGGCCTATGAGGCAGTCGACGACCAAATGCTGAAAAAAAATTATTTGATTATTCGATAACTTGACCCGAAAGTATACCAACGGACTATGAGCTCATTGCTTCCATGGGTAAAGTGGCTTGGGGTGAGCCAATGCTTGGATTACTTCCTACCAACAACAGTAAGACTAAAATACGTTAAATATGGATTCAATATGCATAGAATTTCTCTGATTGCTGCATTAATCACAAGACTTTAACAGTATAACAATGTTTATTAGAGCCAGTGGCGGCGCCAGCTATTATAGAGTGGGAGGGTAATGGGCGCGGCCAGTGGGATCACGCCTCTTTTGCCTCGTTTTAGTGATTTGTACCTAGTTAACTTTCCTTAGGAAATTTGATCTACCCCTACCCAGCGTTTTTTAATCCATTTTTAGAAGAAATATGTAGACCATATTTTCAGAAAAGTGGGGGGTAATTACCCCCCTATACCACCCCTTGGCGCAGCCACTGATTAGAGCATTGTTAAAGTGTTCCAGACAGATATGTTTTCCAGTTACCATGTTATAAGAGTTCAGGTATCATGTGTGACAGTTCAAATCCCAAGGAACCCTGTTTGCTTTCGGGTCTGGCGGCAATTGCCCCCCTTGAGCAACAGCTGTCGCCATCATTTCTTGAAAATGAACAGATTAGTATGGTTGATAACTAAAAACCAAGTTGGTAAGACTCGGTCATTGTTTAAACAGTTTCCCAGAGAAGGAAAAAAAGGGGTGTTCCTATTCTGTGTTCAACATGTTGTCTTGTGGACGGCAAGGTATCTAGGCCAGAACGGCCCCTATTAGAATCACTTTAGTGGAATAAATATAAGCGATTAAAAAAATATCTATTTGACAAAAGTTCAAACAAAGAAGAATCATTGGGGCAAGAGTTGAAATCCAAGTATGGAATTTAATGACGGACAAATTTGTGCGACCAATGACCATACTCACACATATCATGATCCCTGACTGAAGCCTCTAGAATTGAATAAGATCAAAAAATGCTTTATCGATATAATTCAAAGATTTCAAAAGCTGTCAAGCAAAACACATCAAGAAGGAGATGGGGATTTTCAAATCAACAAATCTGTATTTGAAGAGAAGTCGTGTCATTTACAAGTTACAATTCGCTTGTATGTTTAAAATTACAATAATAACAGATGGATCAGCAAATAAAGACTTTTACAGTTTAAAACATACAAAATATATAATATTTAAGCACAATATATAAGTTAAGCCAACAACAATTTCGATCTTACGAATTGCATAACATACTTTAAAATGAAAAAAGTAATTTTACCTGCGCTGACACCCTCTGAGTAGAACTGAGAATTAGCCCCTGATGAAGTTTGCCTTGACGGATTTTTTAAAGCAACAGCAAACTGAAAAATAAAAGTTATTTCAGATCCCAATCTCGATTTATTAGCAGCAATAAAGCAAATACAAGTATATTGTCCCTCAGGCTTTTTGGTGCCATCAAGTTAGCAACCATTTACTAAATTTTTTGTCTTGGCCATAATGTTCTAGAGTAATAAGTTGATTTCTCTTCGAAAAATTCTCACTCTTTACCTTCTTATCCTATATATAGAAAAATTTCTTTGAAAGTGTCCCTAATGTAGAAGATGTCTTGGCGATTATCTTTAGGATCAAATGTGTCCCTTAAGTTATGCAATGCTAGCGAAATATAAATAGCATACAATATCACCAGTAATGATTGTTACAACTTGCAGCATGTACTGAAACGGACATAAACCATGAGAGAGATGACATTCATGGGATGGAATAGGCGTGTTCTATTAGCTTGATGGACTGAGCCTTCTAGGACAAAATAAAGTCAGGTTCCTTCTGTATCCACGATTGCGCTATAGAACATATCACAATTGCAAAAGCAGAGGGGTGGCTAAGTTAATTGCAGTATTAATTCGATGCTTTGCAAGTTGATCACAAAACCTTCAAGGGAATGTTCGAATTTTCGTGAGATGAACAGAACAAATTGGGGAAAGTTCAAAGGGAATACAAAAATCGTTCGAATTATCGAGTGTTTCAAGTAATCAAGATTTTGAGTTATCAGAAGTACGAGTTACCGGGCGTTCGATTTATCGGCATTATACTGTTTTCAAAGGTAAGAGCGTTTTGCAAGAAGAAAGTTTTGCGAATTGAGAAAAGCGCGAAATTTTTGGAATTAACTTTAACGAAAGGAGCGAAATATGATCTTCTGTGAGAAAAAACTTGTACGGTTTATTAAAAATTTTGAGTTTGGCGCGAAAAACATGAAGTTTTTTTCAACTGAGGTTTCATTCCACTTACTACAAATAAATCAACGAAGATAATATTTAAATTCGTTAAAAACAATCATTCGTCATCAAAGTTTCCAAGATGGTCGATAGCAAAGTTCTCTAAATAGCAAAGAATAAACATTCGCGAAATTCGTTTTTAAGGAGGTTTGCTGGATTTAACTTTCAAGAATTTACCATGCCTGTAACCAGAAGGGAGAAAAGAGTGCAAACGATCAAGTACTTAACATTGCGATAAAAATCATCAGCGCGAGATCAAGAGCCGCTAAGGAAATACACGCTCCGGGCCTAAGTATACTTATAGAATTGACATACCGCTCCTTTAAGATTTGTGATCTTCTTGAGCCGGTCAACCCCGGCCGACATCCAAGGGAATGACCCCTGGTCTCCACTGGCCGTGCTTTCGGTTTCTTTCGGGGTAGTATCTCCGTTTTCTGTGAGAACAATTTCTTCTAATCGCAAAATTTTCTAATCGAGAAGTTTTCTAATCGCAAGAAAGGTGGTAAGTGCAACATAAAAGACATAAGAAAGGTCAACTAAGCATAAAAGTTTACAATTTATTTTAACCATATTGGCTAAAAGACACGTTTTTCAGGATATCTTCTAAATTGTTTTCGATTAGACCCTTGGAAAAGGAGTGAAACCTTCCTGTTACTACGACTATCCCCCGTCCATTGAAAGGAGCCAACACTGCTTTATCTGTATGCGTTGGAACAATTTGATCTGCAACATAACTTTTAATTCCAGCCTTACCTGCTATTTCATTATCAGGGTTTCTTTCTTCTTCTATTGCGGTCTTGCCAACTAAAATCAGCGAATCTAGTGTTCGAGGGGGTAATTCAGGGGGCAGATCTTCCTTTATTTTTGGCCTCTAAAATAGAAAGATCCTTTTTAGTGGACATTTCTTTGACTTGTAGCCCCTTTTATGTAAAGACATTCATTTAGGCAAAAAGTTACTTAAGGTTCTCAACATAACAGATTAATCCGTGACGTTTTGCGTGTTGACAAATGAAAATTTGTAGTTGTCGTCTGCATGTTGGCAATTTTCTGCTACAAACTCTCCCCTTAAAAATGCTGTATTGTCAGTTTTAAACAATTCTAAAACTCAAAGAAAAATTGAATTATAATCTGTTTACATCAAAGCAAATTTGCCCTCCCTTTCAAATTCAAGGGATATACTCCTTTGAATAAAAAACTTGAAACCTGAAATGAATATAATTTGTAGGAATATACTACATTTGATAGTTAATCAAATTGAATGCAAAAATTTGCTTTCTCCATGAAATTGGCAAATAAGACGTTGTTGCATATTTATTTTACATCGATACAAATGTGAACTTCATCATCCTATCAATTGTACTGAACATGTTCAATAATGTTACCAGGATAAGGCACTAATTCAGAAAACAAGTAATCGTTCTTCTACAACGTACAGTTGGTTTTGGTGTCGGCGCCGCCCAAATTGACTCGTACAAAAGATGATCTGTTTTATCACGTGACTTTACTTCGATCATGGCATAGTTCGCATCTCCTAAAAATTAAAATATATAGAGCGAATGCGCTTGCAGAAAACACAAAAGGCCATTATATTTGATTTGTATGCTGGTAATTTCTCCACCCAGAAGCGTCAGAATGTAAAATGGATGACGTTTAGTATTGGGACTAGGTTCATAAAATAAAGGTTCATATCTATTAAAAGCATGTACACAGACATTCAGCAAAGCCCACATATATAGATGGTCGGTGAAAATCGTTGTTTTCCAATTTGATGGAATTAATTACTACAAGGCATTTGAGGTTGGAGAAATAAGAGGCAATAACGAAAATTAATTGTGACATTTTAGGGAACATATCATACACTTACCAGCATCGACGAGATCCCTTCCGTTGTCAAGAGGGTTTTTAGAGTTATTCCCCTTTCTCTCCAATTCGGAATTATCGCTTAGAAATCTTGCCATACGAGTCAAACTTATATTACTCGACCCAACTGGCTTTATGGAGTCTGCTGATTCAGTTTTGGGTAGCATCGGTCGCTTCGTTGCGTTTAAAGGCGGGTTATGATGATCGGATCTCTGGGTAGATACAGATTTCTCAATAGACACCAAGTAATTTGTTCTGTTCACCAAGCCATCGTTTCTTACACCTTTCCTCATAATTGAAGCGTTCGTCCTTCCAACAAGGCCGTCACTTATTTGGAACTGTTGTTTCTTTTCGGTGAATGGTATATGAGTTTCAGACTCTGTCTGTTTCACCTCTACCCTTTTGTCTCTTGCCATCTCTGGTGGAATAGGTGATACGCGCACGGTACTGGCAGGCTCAAACGGAGTAAAAATATCTTTTGCTGACATGTTTTTCATCGCAGGTCCTTCAGAATGACGGACAACATCATTAACAGTCGCAGAATTAAGTTGTTTTTGTTTGGGGATTTCTTGCTTTACTTTTGACAAAGAGATATTCCCTTTATCACTTCTGTCAGTAAACTGAGAGGGTATTCTAGTCGATTCCGACAAATTAAAATCAGAGTGACTTCTTTTTGTTTTGTTTTCTGAACTTGTGTCATAATCAGGAGAAAATGTGTCCCAGAGATCAAGCCTAAGTCTGCGGCTATTCTCATCCTCTTTTCCAAGTGTTCTTGACTTTGTTGTTCCAAACAAAGGCTCATTTCCTAGTGACAGTATCGCTTCGTTACCAGAATCACTCCCCTTTTTGGTCTTATCCGAAGGTGCAAAGGAATCGAAGTCAGCAAGATCTTTCTGCTTTAATGGCAAAGGAGGTTTCTTCCCGTCAACGTAATCAAAATGAGGTGCATTTATGGATTTAATTGGGCTCGCATTCTCTTTGCATGGCTTTGGCTTTAGTGGCAATTTCGGTTGCGATGCTGGTTTTTCTGGAAGGCTGAGGGCTGAATGGCTGAAATCATTCCGTTTGTCTGAATTCTCATTTGAATTTGTCACGTGTAATTTTTGCTTACTTTCCGCGTGTACGGGTTTTGCTGGAACTTTTGGTGGTCCTAGAACAGAAAAATATGTGCCACAGTTTAAGATCGTTAATAGCTTGTCCTTAGGTTATTGCAAATAAATTCGACTACATAACTAACGGGATGAGGCGTGAGCGAACATTTTCCAAAATTGAATATAGAAAAGGGGTTTATCTCAATTACCTGTACGCGTGCTTTACGCATTATTTTTAAGCGGGAAACTTATAAAATCATTTGAGGTTTGTATTTAAAAGCAAGGCATGCTTGTTTGTATATCCTTCCTATTATAACAATCCTTCCTGACCGAATCAACCATATATCTGCTGTTTCATCGGTTGAATACTTCACTTTATCTTAATAATGGGAAAGTGAAAGTACGGTTTAATTCCAAGTCGAATTTCACGGTTTAGCAAAAATCATTAATTAAAACCCTTTTGATGCAACCTTCTATCATTGTCTTTACCAAAAATTCAACTTGATTAAGATAATTTTTTTGAATCCTACAGCATGTTATTATAAATAAATGCCACAGCAGAGGAAAGATAATTTGTATGCTGCTATTTTTTTGGTAAAAGTCATAATTTTGGTGAAAGCCTTGTAACAAAGTAAAATTATCAACCTTATATTAAACTGTTTCTTTACATTCAAGTTTACCTTTTCCTGCAAATATCCTATGAAAGTGAGTCTGAATTAAGACTGGAAGATATAGCACACCAATTCAAAGACACCACTTCAAGATATAGCACACCGATTTCAAGACACCACCTCAAGATATGGCACACCTCAAGATACAGCACATCAATTTCAAGACACCACTAGAAGATATAGCATGCCATTTCAAAGACACCACTACAAGATATAGCACACCGATTTCAAGACACCACCTCAAGATATGGCACACCTCAAGATACAGCACACCAATTCAAAGACACCACTACAAGACATAGCACACAAATTTCAAGACACCACCTCAAGATATAGCACACCAATTCAAAGGCACCACTTCAAGACATAGCACACCAATTTCAAGACACCACCTCAAGATATGGCATGCCAATTTAAATACAGCATTTCAAGATATAGCACACAAATTTCAAGACACCACTTCAAGATATAGCACACAAATTCAAAGACACCACCTCAAGATATAGCACACCAAATCAAAGACACCACTACAAGATATAGCACACCAATTTCAAGACACCACCTCAAGATATAGCACACCAATTCAAAGACACCACTTCAAGATATAGCACACCAATTCAAAGACACCACTGACAAAAAGATGCATAATCAATAAGCCAATTATAACAAAACTTCAGGACCCAAAACCGCTGCTACAATAAAAAGCTTTTGCCAATATGGCACCCAGCGTATGATGTGATATGCTTAGCCCTGCAAGAGTGTCTATGGGCAATGCAGACGTTTCCATATTTTTTATGATTTCCTGAATAACACTACTCAAAAGCTAATAAGCGTTCAAACTTTGCTCCAATTACTTACCTACTTCCACATTGATGTAATTTTGCGGTACATGTTCTGAATTCGAAAATGGCTTCGTTTCCGGAATGACGGGGGTAGGACTCAATGGAACTGGTAATACCGACTTCGGACTCGTGGATCCTTGGTTCGTCAGCCCAGGCTTTTTATTTGGTAATGGAACCGGTTTGTTCCGCAGTTCTAGAGACAAACAAAAAGGTATGTAAAAAGGTAATTTAAACCTCTAGCTCAAGTATTAAGTTTTAATTTAAAAAGCACAAAACAGCAATTCGTACTTACCTGCAAATAGTTTACTTTATAGGCTGCATCTAAGTCTTACAAAACCTTATTTTTCCAGGCTTTTCTTTCAAAGAATTAAACTTAATTAGGCCGGAAACCCTAGAAGTAGCTTGTGCCTTTTTCATGTGGACTCTTGGCTGTACCGTGCAAGTGAATGTGTAAAAAGAAAATAAATACAATTGTGATATAAATACAAAGAGCTTTCTGCATTCCTCGATCTGCATTCATAATTATGGAAACAGGTTTAATTACAATAGCAAAATAAAACAAGACAATACCAGTCTTGATAACAGCTTTTTGTGGATTCATTACATTGGTAGTTATCATTGGTCTTCCTATAAACAAAAATGAATAAATTAATATCAGTTCAATATAATGGATGATAGTTAGAATGGAATAATTCGAACAAATAAATCTTCATGTGAAAAACGTTGAATTAACACCAGGGCATAGCTGTAACAAACAAACCAGAAACTAAATTCTTTAACGAATTTTTTAAATTGGACCAGATTGTTATAAAAATACTAGAGAAGGCTTCACACCCCGACCCTCTAAAAATTGAAGAGCAAATTTTTTTGAATGACTCGTGATAACAAGATGTTCAAGGGATAATTTTGCAATGATCAAATTCATACAAAATGTCAAAACAGATTACTCAACCAAAATTTTTAAACATCCACCCCTCATGGCTTATCGACGGGACAAGAATGTTGGGGATATACTTGTCCTCGCAAAGCTACGAACAACAACTTGCCACCACCCAAAATGCTGCACATGCTCCCACATTCACACTTAAACCGCGATCACCATCCACCAAAGTTACTTCCACATAAAGACACAATTCTCATGCACATCTTCCTGCCTTTTTTACTGCATTAGTTGCACCAAATGCAACCTTCACTACACTGACATTGGGGAGAGGTCTTGTCAGTTGAATGCCCGTTTTGGTGAACATCCCCGCAATGTAGAGAAGAAAGTACACCTTCAGGAATCCAGAAAAGATCACCCAGATGCCACAGCCTCCATTCATTTCAACAAAGATGGCCATACATCAGCCAACATGAAAATCACTGAACTCTGCTAAGCACTCAATAATAACATTCGATGCAAAACCCTCGAAAAACGCATTATTCTGAAACTTGGTACTCTTCTTCCTAATGGTTTTTACAAACGATTTCGTATCGCTCCTAATCCAGCTATTATTATTTTATATCTTATCTCATCTATACACTCTCTACCCCCTCAGATACACCTTTTCTGTATTTCCACCTCATCTTACGTTCTATGTCGTATTCCTAACATGTTTCATATAGTAAATCTTGCAACTCTACTCTTCTACTCTCTTTCTAACCGTTACTTCTCATATTCTTTATACTTGATGAAGAATTGTGCTCGATACGTCGTACTTATATTTCATTCTTGTACAAAGTCGTTATTATATTGCATTAATTTTTGCTCATTTCTCGACATACAACACTCTGAACAACATTGATTATAAAAATTTCCATCCATAGGTTTTACATAGATTTCCAAGCTTAGGGGGTAAAAACTTACGTGGCTCTTCAAGACGTTCTCGTAGGAAAAAGCTCTTGGCATCAACAGTCGGCTCGGTTCTCGCTTGGGTCTCGCCAAGTCTGCATGCAGTATCCACGTTTTCATATAAATGAATATCCTGTTAGACAATAAATTTAGTACAAATCAGTGGTGGAAAAATTTTTACCTTCCAACTATAAAAGATATTCCTTCCAACCTTCCAACAATTTTTACCTTCCAACAAATTATAACTCAAATTCTTCCTTCTTTTTTACCAGAATCTATAGCAAGCTATTTCCAAAGAGCTGATAAATTATTTTTTTTATATATTCTCAAAAAGTTTTACAAAACAGATTAACTATAAGACGATGCCACAGGGAGCATGGAAATACATAGCAACCCTGTGACCATTACATTTAACATGTTTACTTAAAATTTGAGTTACATTTAATGTTGCAATTACATGTTACAGATCACTAATAACAAATATAATTTACAATTATTAAGTTAAACAAAAAATACATTAACAAGAACAAAACAAAAATAATGTAAGACAAATTACATAGGAGAGAAGGCTTGTACAACTACTTAATGAAACCTTTCATAGGTCTGAATATAGTTTAAGGCTGCCTCGTAAAATTTTTGTGTTTGAATTCAAATTTTTCATGACCATAAGCTATTTCAGCATGCTTATGTCAGCTTATTGAAATATGTCTCACTTTCTTCAAGTGGCTTCTATTTGTTTGTTCAGAAGACTTTCACAAAGACAAAACAATTGCTAATTTATTAATTCTCTGTTTCTTACCCAGTAGCGTTATCTCTGTTTCCGATTTACCCTAATGGCCTTTTTGTAGCCTCAACAAAGTAAAATTATCAAGCTTATATAGAACTGTTCGTTTACATTCAAGTTTACCTTTTCCTGCAAATATTTGTATCCTATCGAAACTCTTCCTTGCTTCTGAACTTTTTATAAACTGTTAACGTAAGCAAGCTAGTCCATAAATGGAATTTTGGATTGTTTTAGAATTATACGATCAACTGCTTTTGATACGTTACAGAAAACGGACCTCCAGTTAGCGACCTGGGTCAAACTCTTTTCATTTTTACTTTTGCTATAACTGCAAAAAGACGCCTTGATTCAACGTTAGACTTTCCCTTTTGTGTTGCAGTTTATTTTAGCAGCTCTGCTCTAATCTCAATAATATATTTGCATCTTGTGTGATTTACAATATAAGGAGACAGTGTACATATCATAAATATTGCCTTTTCTTTCTTTTCACATCCGTTAACCCTCCCTTAGTTCAGCTTCATTTCAAAATTCAGACAACATACAAGTTCCAATAAAAAATACATCAAATACAATAATACAGATATAAAACAAACGATAAGCATCAAAAAATTAGACTAACAAAGGGAATATGTGAAACCTGTATGTGGGGAATTCCTAAAAGGGGCAGATCTCTCAGTAGATAGACTAATCGAGGAGAGAGCACCCCCTGTGTAAAAAATCTATATTTTCAGTAATCTATGATTCCAAAGGATGCATTAAGTGCAAGAGACCTAGAATCATCACAGTGGCCTCAAGCCTACGGAGTCCACTCCAGGCAAAAAACCCAGATCCCTTAGCTACTTCTATTTTGAATTCTCATTCCACTTAGGCCTTTTCTCTTACCAAACATGCCTCCTTACCTACTCTAAAAGAAATTATTTGCGTAAGGAATTTTTTTAGGGAAAACTTCATTTCCATTTTAGGGTTCAGGACCTCCAATATTTTATGGTTTGCGGATGAAAACCTTGCACTAAATCTTGAAGCAACTGTTTTGGGAGTGACAGCAAAGTTGGTGATTAAAAGATACTGACATTGTCACTCTTCTAAAAATCTAATTTTTCACAGGTCAGCCATAAAAGGATTCAAATTATTAACAATTTTCATAGTTAACCGATTTTGAGAAGTTTGCTTTTTTCTATTCTTTTCCATCTTGCTCTATTCTTTCCCTTTTAATTTACTACAACCCTTCAAATTACTCTTCCTTACTCTTCCTTTTCTCTCTCTTTCCTTCTTCTTTTTTCTTTCCTTTCTCATTTCCTTCCTACATGACAACCGGGCTTCCTCCACAGCTGTTTCGCGTCTTAACGCATTTACCTCTGCTACAAACATCATCATAACCAATACGATCTATGTCTCGTTTTCGTACGAAAATGCATGCATTTGTATTTGCTGTTGGGTCGCATTCCCAATAGACAAAGAGCAAGGGGATATAAGAAACAAATCCAGTATCATAGCCGTGTTTATATGAATGACTTGACGAAATCAGAGGTATTCGTGTGACAGGGCCTTGTGTGACAGGGTATTTGTGTGATTTGATACAGAAGTCTGCCCATGGACACGAATGCCTTTGATATCTGCTGACATTGGTATAGTACTGGCTAGATGTGGTTTTAATGTTACTTTAAAACAAAACACACTCTAATAAGCGACTTCAAATAGGTGTGAGTTTGTGCCAAGAGGGGCGTCAAGAGGTTCGGAGGTCTTGGGGCAGAACTGAAAAAGGGTCCTGGGACAAATTTTTTTCCACCACCCCCTTAAATAAGCTCTGCTGTTTCTAAGCATAGCATTGTTACGTTCGATTTATTCCATTCTTAAAATGAAATTCCATTACTTTATGAGGCCCCCTAGAGCTTGAGGCTCTGGGGCAATCTGCCTCCTTGTCTCATCGAACACACATAATTTCTTTGACTTGTAATTAGACCTGTTATTCTGTAAATGCAACACGACATTTTGTCTGGTTAAACTATTAAAAAACCGAAAACACCTGAAGATTTATGACAAATTTACACAGCATTAACATAAAAGTCAGCAACTTCGTTAAAATTCTAAAATTAATACCCACTTTAAAGGCACGATAGTAAGCAAGAGAGTTCCTTAGTGATGACGTCAAAAAAGTATTAAACGGCTTATATGCAGTCGTACGGTACGAACCTCATCTTTCCTTGGAAACTCGAGGTTTACGTATGAAGAAGAAAAGTCTCCCTTTTTCTTCATTTGTTCCAAAATCAAGTCTCTGAAAACCTCGTGAAGGTATTCGTATTGTTCCTAGAACAAAAACATCAGTCAACTAATTGAGGCTATGTAAATCATGGAATATTTTTGACAAATGCTTTGTTATTTCTTTCAGTGCAATAATTATATACCAACATGTAGGATTAGTCTTACTATTTGGAAAAGACAACAATGCTTTTCTACGACACCATGTAGAGACCATCTGACTTAGTATGAAAGGTAGACCAACTTAGTGTGAAAACTGGACCAACTTAGTGTGAAAGGTGGACCAACTTGTAGAAGAAACAGGACGAATGTACTAAAATCTGAACTTCTATCTGCAATTTGAAACAAAGCTGAATGTAGATGGTGGTTTTGTTAATTTGCAGTACGTTTTCAAAACTGTATAAAGATAAATAACTAAATGTAACAAATTCTAGGAAAAATTCGTAGACAATGAACTAGAAAAACCAAAGCTTTTTTATTGGAGAGAAGAGTGTTTAACAAACCTTCGATTGAACCATCGCCGGTCTTTGTTTTCGCAAAGTCATAACAATATCGATCACGTTGAAACTTGAAGGCTAATTATAACAATAAAAAAATTGATAGTGAAGTTGGTTGTCGCCAAAATACAGTTACTTCTGCTGTGTGACACTGGAAATTTGCGATACTGCATACGATAGAATTTAGGAAAAATTCAAAACTGGTTATTATAAAGAGGAAGCTTGCAATGAAAACAGAATGGCGCAACTACAGCCAGAATTTGAATCTTTCAAGGAGGTTAAAAAGAATTGTTTAGATTATAAACTTTGATTAACAGGTTATTGCTATGAAATGAGAAATTTGCGTGGCATTTACGCCAGTTGACTGCTACAACCAATGAAATTGTAGATAATAACATCCTAAAAACGATAGCATTAATTCTCCTAAGTAATAAAACGAACTCTTGCGAAGAAATCTTCTTAAAAGACTTAGCTAAAAAGACTCACAGACTTTCGAATGATTCGACGGCCATAATCAACAGCCACCATCACCCCCGTTCTTCCGCATCCAGCACTGCAAAGTAATGCAAAAACTGGGGGGTTAGCAGGGGACTTAGCAAAGGACTTATCTTTTACGAAATAAAATATATTCAGCTTAGACAAGATGGATACCAGCGTCACTTGAACAAAAAAGGCCAAAAAATCTAGCCCAAATTTCCAAACATATCATTTTGCCAGTAATGGCCTATACTCGAAAAATTACAGATTACGACAAATGCAGCTTGTGTGAAATTAAATTGTAGGTGAAATTTTGAAGTGAAGTGAAACTACTTTATGCTTTCTATTCTTAGACAAAAGTTCGTACTCAACCAAGAACTTAAACTTTTCTTAGCGAATTCCCAGTTTCAGTACTAAAACATTTTAAAGGCTTTATTAGCAAAAATTGAAAAGTTTTATATCACTCCGCGTGCGCAGTGACGGATAGAGTGCAATGCTATAAATATACCATATCACTAAAAAATACTCTAATAAAACGATAATAAAATAAATAAAATAATTTCAACATCAACTATCGAATAAAACCTAACACACAGAACACAATGGGTATGATTTAATCATGCAAATTTTAAGACAGATGATTTCGACAGCTTCCACATCCAAGGGTTGAATATGATCGCACGTGCACGGCCAATTCTCCTTTAAATTTTGAGCATCTTTATTTTTCAGCTTTGCTAGGTTTCAAACATCCAGCACTAAATTTTTCCAACTTTTTGGAGAACCGAGGACTAATTCCTTAAGAAAGAAACGTTGCTAACTTACCTTAAGAAAGCCACTTCAATACTTGAACATTACTAAATGGTAACTAGTTTTGGCTTGGTTCATTGTGTTGAGAACAAAAACTATTTACAGTGGTTTGACAAGGATTTTTGTTTTGGGAAGCACTAACCTGCAGTGGAGCAGTACAGGGGGGCTGTCCCAAGGGTGGATTTCCCTTACTAATTCGATAATATGAATGAGATTCTGTGTTGTTTTCGGTACACCGTGGTCTGGCCATGCGGTGTAGTGCAATTGCCACAGTCGATGCTCCTCCTGCAAAGTAAATGTAGTTGATTGATTACGTGAGGAGTATCACTTCACGTTATGGTATGTAGAGCAGGGCGGCTTTGAGGTGTTATTAAGATTTCCACACTCAATGTTATACAGACTCACTCAAGGCTATGCTATAGAACTTGGTCTGGTGATCGCAATAAACATGAAAATCAAAGTAGGAATCTAGGTATTTCACGCAACAAAATGTGTACAGCCCTCGGAAGGGGTGGGGGGGGGTGGTACCTTGATAGGTTTTGAGGTATGGGAACGTGCCATTATTTAGAGGTACTTTTTTCTGAAAAGTGCAGAATTATCGGTAGCAGCTTTTGAAATGTATACGGAATTATGGGTACCATGTGAAGAAACATGCACAATTAGGGGTACCATTATAGGAAAATACTGCAAAATTATACAGAGGAAAATTTTGCATAAAAAACGAAGGTCTAGTTAGAAATGAAAATATGAAATATGTGTAGCATTGAGAGTCTGGGGCAAAGGACATATAAAATTTGTTTGATGATATTGTTGCGCTTTAAAGATGCTATTTGCCTTGCGGAAATACGGGTATAGTCTTATCATGTTTGCGGAATTATGGGTCACATTTCTTCAAACATGTGCCTTGGATTCACATTACGGGTCCAAATTTTCAACCAAATGGCATGTCCCCGTCCAAAACTAGGCTTAGTTACCCCAGGCGCGGATCTAGCCAACATTTTGACTGGTTCCCGGGTGCTTTACCCCGTTACGGCCCTGTGTGTTATTGGTCTATAAATACTGCTAAAAGTTTCTAATGCGGTAGTAAAATGTGATTAATTTGCCCACACTTTATCTAAAATGTCGCAATTTTACTCGGTTCATCAAGGCCTTTGATCCTTATCTTGCAACTTCGATTCTAATTTTCATGAATTTTTCCGAGATGGAAAGTCTAATCCCACAATACAGGACCTCAGATTCTTATTTGCTACCATATTCAATTTTGTATCATTTTGTATCAAAGCGTCCACGCCTTCGAGCTATGGATATCGATATCGAATATGCTTTTTAGCCACCAGTTTTTTCGCATAAGGGAAACATATTGGTACCGGTTTTCACAAGTTTGCACAAAACAATAGCCACCGGTTTCAATATTGGCGCATGGATAGCACACTCTAAGCTGTCACTCTGAGTGGCGACTGACTTCCTCGATTTTGAATTCCTTGGGTACTTTGGGTCGGAATCTTTGCAACAAGGGAGTGCTGTCCTTATGAGATTAAGAACTTGTGTGGGGGTTCAATTCGGTATGTTAACAGAAGAACTGTAGTCAGTAGGGGAGAAATGCAGCAATTATTGCAGTTGAAAATTTAGATTTACAGATTCAAGATTTTCACTAATTCAAGATTTACAGAGAAACATAGCTTTTAGAATTTGACCGGTTTTTTTAAACCTGTGCAGCCTGTCTAGATCCGCGCCTGTACCCCCTTCCCTTCGAGGCACAGCCATGTATATAAGACATGAAAAATCTAAAACAGAACAGTGAATGGCTTATTTAGCTAAACCTCGTTCAATTTTGACCCCTTTCACACAAGTAAGCAGATATTTTTGTAAAAACAAATTTTACTTTTCTGATTGAAAAATTTTCGCGTCCACCCTCATTAAATCGATCTCAGTCGGCCACAAGCATTCGGAATCATTGTTCTTTTCACAATGGATGTTTTCTTCAGCGTAACAGTGCATGTACCATAAAGAGCATGAGCCAGCATGCCGTCATCGTATTAAAAAATATACACATTAGTGTTACAACAAATCATTGGATTCGTAGTGCTTGCATAATCTCTAGACCGCTGGCCAAAAAAATTTGAAAAGTTGAGATACAAATTCGATAAGAAAATTTTGTCTTAGATTGCCGTTTGCAAAAAATGAGAAAAGTTAATAAAAAACCTTTATGAAAACATTTAATTAAGTTACTTTGAGCAAGACTTACATTGCCAAAGACAGCTTTGAGCGTTCGTTTGGTAAGGCAGTTTGCTATCAACTCTTCCCGCACCTTCAATTAAAATAAACGATAAATTATATGACAAAAATAATTCTTTAAAATAGGTATGGAGCAGCCTGGTTAATATGCAAAATATGATGGAGGCCTTAAGCAAAATTCAACAATAAAATTTTCTATATATATTGCTAGACCACCTTACGGAATTTCAAGACTAAAATAATCCTCTGTTTACGCTCATCCTGTTTGAATCTTTCCGCATGTTGTGGTTTATTCCTTCTAACCAAAAGGAAGTACATTTTACGTGCAACATATAAAGCAATACAGCCATCAGAGATGTCTTAGCTTGACCATTAAATCCTTATTATATAGGATGATTTGAATCCTCCCATTATCCACAGTTTCCAAAATCGCTTAAACTTCGACTTTGCCTTCACAAGAAAGCAATGTTATCGTCTATTTCCTTTCTTTTCGTCGTATTAAACAAAACATTTTCTGGAAGATTTAATGTCATTTTAGGACCATTTAAGGAGAATCATTTCGGTTGACTGCAGCTCTAGCAAGAAAAAACTCTAAAAACAATTTATAATGTTCAGGCTCTTTGGTAAAGGATTGAAATTTACCAACCAAGGTAACAGCTACTGGACCAAATCTGAGCTCCTCTCCATTAGCAGGCCAGTATCTTTGGCATCTATGCTGTTAATTTATAGAAAGCTTCTGAGTATTGTAAAAAATACTGAGTTTGAAAAAGTACTAGGTATTTGTTATCAATAAACAAAGAACGCTTGTGAGAATCATAGTCAGCAGAAACCTGTTCCTGGACACCCAAAGGATGTTCGCTACAAGATTTGTACCAGTGGTTATGTCTGTCTCATATACAAGAAAATACTTTAAATAACTAAGAGCTCATTCTCTATAATCATTTCGTCATGACTTTTCAATTTCACAGTCAATGACCTCTGCGCAACACTGGTTATCCTACCAATCAATGTGACAGTTAAATGTCAGCTAGGACATTCACTGTCCTTGAATTAAACACAGTCAAACACAGTAAAAACATAATTTACAGATAGGGTCACTTGATTGAAAATATGATTGCCTCAAGAATAATTGCCTTGTTACTTCCAAATCAGAGGCAATCCATGAGCATTAAAATGATAGAAATATTGTAATGGTACTACCTTTCCAAGCTCTATCTCTTTACAAGCCATTACAACAACCTAGAAAAGATTGATTTACAAAAAACTGGTCAATGAAAAGTAACTACATACAGCTTTATAATTACTCTCTTAAAGAGGAACAAAACATTTTGCAAACTCAGAGACAGAGCCACAAAATTGGACATGGGGGCTAAGAATCAAGGTAGTGACACAGAAGGGCCCACGGGTTGGGTAAAAAGCCCAAGAAAAGTTTTGAAATTGAGCCCTCTAGAAAGGCTAAAAATGCATCTCCCAGGCTAAAACTTAACAAATTGCTATACCGCCCAGATAAGATGATTCAACAATTCTCAGCAAAACATTGATTATTGATTTTAAGGAAACATTTTGAAGGGGGGAGGACTCATGCTAAAAATCTAGTGACAGATTTTGGGGAAAGAAAGAAAGAGTGACCTTTGGTTTCAGAGTGCATATCGATGTGAATAACAAGAAGCTGTTGTATTGATTTAGAGAATTTTACTTCCTGAACAGAAATTTGCATCTTCTTTGTCTCAAGAATTTTCAGTAGGTCATGTTAACACATCCAAAATGCAGACATTGCAATGATGCAAAAGTTATCTACTGAATTGATGCAAATAATAGACATCTAAACAAATTAGTAAATAGATTAAAGAAAATCAAGCAGTATACAAACAGTTTGTTCTCTTTCTATTTCATACTTTGTTTTCAAAAATAATAAAAAGGCTGTCAATAAGTTCTCTGAGGCATTTTCCCCCATGCCCCCTATTGGCAGGCTTGTGGAGCAGAACCAGTTTCTCAAATATTTCATAATATCAGTACTTAAAATTCATAAAAACCATTTTAACTTAACATGCTAAAATCTAAAATCGTATAATCTTTGGAAAATTTACATAATATAATCACCTTAATTTTGTGTTGCCATATCATCCACCAAAAGTCATCAACAGTTGAAGGCATTGGCCCCTGTGATGCTATGTATCCCTTTTTCCCATCTGGTGACTAAGATAGAACAAGAGGGATGAAATGGTAATTTCTTGAATGTTTTGCTTCTTTAATAAAACTTTTGTCCAAGTAAAAAGCCAGAAAAATGCTGTGTTGATACCTTAATGTAGCTTGCATTTATGTAGTCTGATCCTTCTTCACTGCCATTTCTTTTCAAAATAACTCTTGTATGGTCAACTGCAAAGAAATGAAATAAATGATGAACATAGACCATTCTGCAAGATTATGAAATCACTCACACTCTAAAGATGCCTGATGGAAAAGCTTAGGGATGGGAAACACTAATAGTTTCCCCTTTTCACTAATACTCTACTTCATCCCATTTTGATGTAAAAAGGTTGGTGGTATGTGCGTGTTCTTTTATAAACTTCACTTTAAAATATACTAACAATTATCCAGAATTCTCCCTGGAAATCAGGAACACTTGGCTTGAAGGTTTATAGGAACACTCATTTGGATGTTCCTTTATTTACATTTGATGTTGAAAAGTTCTTTGACGTATGTGCTGTCATTTATCAGATCTTGTTTAACATCCAGAAAATACAGAGCCAGCAAGAGACAATGTTGTGTGACCATTGCATCTTGATGAATTAACTGACTAAATTACATTACAGGGCATATACACATAAAACAAGGGGACGCTAAAAAAATTTTGTTGATTACATTATTGTGGGTACAGAGACAATGAAAGGTGTTAATGACAATGATACAATGAAAGACATATTATGGTTGGAAAATTGTCACTACAGGTTGCAATACTCTTAAAGCACATCAAGACACGCACACACTCCTAGAGAGTTCCTGGCCTTGAAAGAACATCTGTGTGATTCAAACGCTTAACAAGTTTCTTGTATTCTGTTAAAACAAAATTACTAAAAACTTGTGTTGTTCAAATATGAATGTGTCGCAATCATTGTCTGAAAACTTATTTAAACTTCAAATAAGTACATTGCACTAGACCTAAGCAAAAACTAAGTATTCAATGATGCACTATCATCTAGAGCGTAAAAGAAATCATCTCATTGACAGAAATCTTGAAGTCCTATTTGCTGTAAAGGTACATTCATAATGTTTCTTTCTGTCCCATCCTTCTTTGTCAATGTTTCTATGATAGCAAACTGTGATAAATAAAAATAGAACTTTGCACATACAAGGTAAGATATCTTTATATCTGTTTTTCTTTCTATTGCATTCTTTTGCACCAGCAGTTGCAACAGTTTGTCCATCCACGGACAGCTTTTCTGAGTCCCTTTTGATTTGCTACAACAGAAAAAGCTCAATAAATCACTCTGTTTGGCAATATTACCAAATCCAAAATACAAAACAAGAAGACTTAGGAGAGTTGGAGAGACAATTATTCAAATTCCAGTCTATTGATAATAAGATGCAATACATAGATGGCCTTAAGTCATTTAGGAAGGGGTGCATAACTCTCCAATCAGTGCCAAACAACAATAAAAGCAATATTTCACCCTATTAAAGAACAGTGAAGATTTCTCTCTCTGTGGCCCTCTTAACTGGTGATTAAAATATTTGCTTTTCTGGTATACTTTAAAAAGTGACAACTTTTGATTCCTAGGAAGTTTTCTGGTCCACACATTCTAAAAGCCTTCCATATGACACAAAGGGGTATATGACAAAAAGTTCCATTCCCTGTTGTGGCATTCCATTACAAATAGTTTTGCTTCAGATAACATTCATAGTCAAAGACATGCTCCTGTAATGCTTTACCTTCTGTAATTGAAAACCAAAGCCATGAAAATCATATATACTTATTTTGTCGTTACTGAGCTTAAATATTTTTTTAAGAAAAGGGGCAGAGATATACTGCAAATCGTTTAATAAGCAACAATTCAAAGTGCTTAATTGAGGGGAGGGAACATTTTTTCCAGGGGCAGAGCAATTAATTTGGAGTATTTACAGTATCTGGCAAAAATGACTAGCAACATAATCATGGTCGTTGTTCATGGGCATGGTCTGAGGTGATATTATGTAAAATAAACAGAAATGTAATAGGGAAAAAATTGCTTTCAGCCAACAAAAAGCACAACCTTAGATTGCACACTCAGTTTTTAAGAACCTTTTTTAAAACAAATATTATCCTTGGGAATTTAGAAAAATGGCCAGAGCTTAGACTTCAATCAACATAATACTCTTTTCTCTTTTCAGTGAGTCCAAGATAATTAAGTCTTAACTTGCTTAAGTCTTAACTTGCATGATGATATTATCTTATCTTCCATAAGTGTACAGTTGACCATAAAAACCTCAGTCCACATAAAAATTTTGAAGCTAGTTTTCACTACTAAAATCTTTTTAAATAAGAAAGATAGAAAGATATTTAATTTGTTGTGTTTATTTTCATCTATTTTCAACTCCAAACAAAAACAATTCATAAAAAGCTGTTTCCAGTCAATAATACCTGAAATTCTGTCGTAAACGTGTCTCTCCCTGGCCTTTGGCTTTTCTCCTTCATGAGCTGATCATATCTTTGCAGAAAACTTTGCAGAGCGTCTGAGTCAGTCATTATTGAGCCTTATGACCACCTAAAAATGGCTGGATTCCACGGAAATCTAACTGATGTTTTGACAGCGATCGAAGACGAACAACTTTAAAAAAACTTGATCAAATGTATATACAACGACCATCCAAATTGCTAAGATAAGCGCCAAACTTCAGGAAGCTAAAACGTTATGTTAGTGCATTCGTCCATGATAAATACAAAATTCCCCTGATGTCTCTGACATTCCATGACAAACGGGATGGCTGTTATGCGATCGCCGTATTTAAGAAGAAATGCTAAGGTGAAAAGGCTTCGTTTCACTTCCCTCCTTCTCAACCATCCCCTTTCAAGTGTCCCTTTTCTCTGTAAATAAAAGGATCTTCAATAAAGGGACCAAGTACATCCACCACAAATTTGTTTCCGCTTTCACCTATCGAACTTTGCTGTCAGCCATCGAAATGCTGTTAACGAGGCAGATTCCTTCACAACGGTGACGAACGTGAATTCACTGATCTAAAAAAAACTGGATCGCGCATCTATTGTTCTAAAAGTGCGGCCGCTGAGAAATCGCAGCGGCCATGCTCTTGTGACCACTTTTGCAGACTTGTGGTCTTGTTTACTACGAGGAAATGCCGGTTCGGACAAGTAAAGTCGAAGTCTCTGTCGTCAAATAGTGGCAAAGGTGGGTATCTCTATATATAAATGACCATAAAATTATTAAATGTTCCATTTTATGGAGGGTAAGGCATTTTGGTTCTCTATTTCTTGTTGCTTTACGGATAGCCTACACTTTTAGGCCTATTATTAGTAGGTGGATTGAAACTCGAAAACAGAAATCAAACTAAGGTAAATCTAAATAAACATTTGTCTTTCGTTGTTGGCACTCAAAAACAGTAATTAGACTGTTTCCTAAACTCAAGTCTCCACGGAGAGTCCAACGATGCAAATATATTTATTCGAATCAGCAGGCAAGTGACTATATGACTAGCTACCTTTTACTTATTTGATCAAATTAGAGCCGTAAATTGCCATGAGAAAGCCACGTAGCAGCGATAATTACATAGAATATAAGTAGCTTTCATATGTAAAAGTTAATTTTAGTTGTTTCTCTGATAGGATATAACCCCCAAAAACATCTTGGGAGCTTCTAAGCAACCCCAGTGTAGTACTGAGTTTCTTGTAGATAGAAAATGTTTAATTTGTGTAGCTGCTCTTTCCAAACAAGTCTAGCCGTGATTTCAAACCTCTAACTTTTTGTGCCCCTCTACATTGTTTAAGCAATACATTTTACATTGAAATGATGTGATATGAAACATGCTTACATTCAAGTGAATCACCGCTTGTACTATGTTTGTGACTTAGGACTAATTGAAGAGTTATATCATATTCCTCTGAAAAATAAGCCTTAAAGAATATGCCTGGTTGTACTTTTGAATCAATATTTTAATATTACCTCTGACAAAGCTTTTCTTTATTTTGCAGAATAAAGTGCAATGGAATGGCTTGACAGCTATTGAGGGATACAATCATATATAGTTTACTGAGCTAGAACTTCATAAGTAACAGATATTACAATGAATAGTAATTAAAAGATTGTGACTTTGTTTCAAATGAATTTTAAGATTGTGATTTAAAAATTTGAGGTTTTTGAATTTGTTATGTATACAGCTCTTTGAGAGATATTGAGAGATGAATCCTTCATATTTGAGAGATAAATCCTTCAGCCCTGAGACAAAAGCTATGAGTGACAACACTTTTATGAACTGAAGACTAATACGGTTCATAAAAAAGGCTTACTACATTTGATTACATTGGTAATTTCGTTCCAGAAATAATCATAGATAACTGCATAAAGCTCAC